GACACACTCTCTCTGTTTAAATCTAGATTAAAGACACATCTCTTTGGCCAAGCATTCAAATAATGCATCTCATAATCTTGTACTGCAGTTATATCTGATCAAATGCACATTATTATTCTTTAGTTTGGGTTAAACAAATCAATTTTGCTTGGTTGGAACAGCAGCTACGCTAATTATGTCTCTATTTGTTTCTCTGTTTCTGCTGGGATTGACATCCCGTGATTTACACAAGCTTCAGTCTGGATCCAGAACACCTGAGAAGAGATGATGCAACCCCTCAGAGGACCTCAGATGATGCCAACCCTGAAACAACTTCCAGAACTACCACATTTTGTTATAAGTTTGATTGCATCATATAATATTTGCTGTTAATAGTGTTCATCGTCTGTTTGATTACGTCTTTAATTGATTTTTCCGTATATTTCTGCCATATGTACATTAACTGACAGTCACCACTGATAACCTACCACTAAATATTGTAGAAACTTAATTTGCTGTAAAGTTGCTTTGCAACGATTTGTATCGTGAAAAGTGCTATACAAATAAACTTGAATTGAATTGAATATGCGCAGGCGCATACTCACACGTAAGCTGATGACGCTGTTTGTTTTCAATGGAGAGTGAGGACTCATGTGCAGAGCTTCACCAGCAGTACCAACGTCTAAAGCTCACAACGTAAAAGTTACGTCAGCAGCTGCTAAACTGGTAATAAGCCGGAGAGAGTCAATCGCAATCGGTAATCTTCTTAGTTTTCTTCAAGTTCTGCAAGAAAACACAAATACAAATGCCTGAGGTCTACTCAAGCACTCTAAAATTTTCAAATAGGAATATAATATGTGAAGTGATTTAAATGCCCTTTTTCAGTATTAAAAACAAAATTTCTAATGCACTGGTAAGTTTCTGCTCTGGTTATCTCTCTCTCACATGTTCAGATACAAACAGGCAGAAATAACTGGATCTTTTTTGAAAGCTTAAGTTTCCTGCAGAACTTCTTATCACCATTTATTTTAGCAGAAGCTCATTAAACTACATCATGTTAAAGTGTGTCTACAGTTACAGTTGTTTTCTCTCATCTGCTCCCAATTGATCATTTGTTACTATATTTGCAAAAAATACATGTTTTGTTGCTGTAAAACCATGTTTTAACGTCATTTGTCTTGCTGAAAAACGTTTCATGTGGTAAGTGAATTGAATGCAGCTGACGTTAGTGGTTTAGTTCAGTGGTTTCCAACTACAAAAGATCTCGGGGGTTGTGACGTATTAAACGAACAGAGGAATGCGAGTGTTGGGGGCTGGTTGGGAGCTACTGATTTAGGTGGTCTGGAGTTTGATTAGGGTTTGTGGGGAGCCTAAAAACACTGACTAAACCAAACAATGATTTTAAACACTGAACACAATGAAGATACTTGATCAGCTCAAACATCTGTGGATCAAAATATTTTAGAAAACTGATGGGCTTTAACAGCCATGAATGCAACAATGTGTTAAAATAGTCATGATGAGAGATAAAAGTCGAATTAAGAGCAGTGTAGAATATAGACTAAAGTTCACACATTTATGTGGTTGTTGTCAGCTCTTTTCTTCATAGCTTCTCATTTCGCACAGTGTTTTTTTTCCACTTGTGGTCAACATCTTCCTGAACTGTTTAACTGATTGTTTTCGAAGGAAACACCCACAGCTATGATGAGATTAATGGTTAAGACTTAATGAAGTCTTAAACTTACTGAATATTACACCACTTCAGTGTTTTTCAAGTCATCTGTGGGCCTGTTTACACCAGGTCACTTCATGCGTTTTTAGATAGCTATCTGATTTGTTAAAATGGTTCCATTTACACCATGTCATGCAACGTGATATGACACAAGACAATAGAGCCCATTATAATCAGTGTTGCTGTCTACACCAGATGTGGTGAGGTCTCCGATTCAGCGCTGCTCATTCTGTCTTCTCTTTGTATTTACACAGCATGAAGGTAAAGTTGTACTAATTTATGAATGAAGCGCTCGTTTTAAAATCTTCCCAGTCTAGTGACATTTGTTATGACATCGGTTCCCCGCCTTCAAGATTTTCCTGCCTGCAAACAACCCATGACAGTCTATTATTTAAAGGTCAACATGAGGCAGAACATTTGAAGGAATATATAAAGCACCTTTATTTAATAATGTACAAAAGGAAGCATAAAGTAATACAAATGAAATATCTTGCATATAACTTTTAAATAATTTTATTCTACAAATGTCATAGCAAGAGAGAGCTGTTAGTGAAATAACATGTTCATCCAGCAGGTGGAGCTTTAGCAGATTCATCTGTATTAACAGAGATATGAAGGACTGTTCATAAACCATTACTACAGCACTGACAAAACTATTGAATCTGTTTTAAAATATGAAAACAATACAAACATAAACTAAACAAAAACTGCTCCAAAGCCCTGGATAGAAATTCATAAATTTGACATGATTGATTAATGTCATAATGTTTGACTTGACTTGATTGAATGTCATTTTAACATTCATAAACTCAAAAAAGTGCACTTGAAACGTGATTGATAATTAAACTGTCACAAGATTAGAACATCATCAATGACGTCAGGGTTGCCAGCAGTCCCATATTAGCCAAGACATTTTTTATATGTGAGTGGAAATGCGGTTGGCGGTCTGAGGTTCATAGTTCCTCGCCGAACACCATCCCAGCAGCATTTTGGTCAAAAAGCAAATACAGGGACAGGTTACACTTGAAGTAAGATTAATAAAAGTAAAAGTAGTAAAAGTAAAATGTGTGTGTAATATTTTGAATGTATTAGCATTTATTATGAGTTGTATTTGTCCTTTTTTTGTATTTCTAAATTTGTTAGTTTTGTGAGTTTAAATGTTGTTTTATATATTTATATACCTGTATAAAAACTGTATAAAATATGCTAAAAGGGTTAATGGTTCCTTTTTCTACTCAAACCCTGGTTTGAGCTTGTTGGGTTATTTAAAGGGGTCATTGGATGCCCATTTTCCACAAGTTGATTTAATTCTTTAGGGTCTTTATAAAAAGTCTGTAACATAGTTTGGTTAAAATTTCTCAATGGTGGTGTAAAAAACACCTTTTTTTACCCTGACAAAATTTTGTAGCATTTTCCTTTAAATGCAAATGAGCTCTACTGACCCCGCCCCTATCTTCCGAGCCGCTCTCTGAGGGACTGTTTACTTTAGCCGCATTCATCATGAAACTTGCTAATTAGCACATTATTAGGAAAGGCAATTTGCAAAGATTTATTAAAAAAACTTAAAATACTGGATCTTAAAAAGCTGGATCACGAATGATTTGCGTGAACCTAAACGCATTTAGGTAGATCGGGGGTGCATTCCCTTGAAAAACTAATATAATTCACTGCGTCTTCAGCGGCTCAGATGTCGGGAGTAAATGACGACTGCTATGTTCATTATTACATCCAACAACAGAACACCTCAATCGCTTGTTAGGAGTCATTCTTGTCTACATCTGCTCCAGCGGTGAAACAATGGCGGACTGATGACAGTCACTCAGGGTGGAGCTAAGGTAAGACACCAGTCCAGTCTGTGCTGAAACGCTACTGTCAAATCAAACTATCGTGGGAGGGGCCTGTCTTTGTGATGTCACACAGACAGGCATCTGAGATTGGCTCGATTTGAGAAAGGGGAAATGATTTAACAAGATTAAAAAAAACACTTGGTGGATTTTTATCATTATAGGGTAGTTGTGTACACACACTGCCAACACACATTTCAGTTCAAACAACTTGTAAAAGTGCATGTAGCATCCGATTTTTGTGTTACCCAGCTGCTGGGTTAGTGCAGTGCTATTCAATTAGTGCTGAGGTAGGCCAAGGGGGAGTGGGGCCATCCCGATTTTTTTTTCAGGGAGGCATATAAAATGATAACTTAAATATAAATGCATATTCAGCAGTAAAAAATACAAATGCATGTGACAACAATGACATATAAAATGACCAACCTGATTTTAATAGGACACTTGGCAAAAGTGCATGGAGCCAGGGATAGTGTGAATGAAAGGCTGTATATTGGTAAGCCACCCCCTCAAACACAAAACTCAAGAATGGCCTGTGATGGGAGGCTATTTTGATATGAAAGCAAGCATCTTCCAGATCCACTGAGAAAAAAAAAAAAAAAGAAAGAAAGTCCCCTGGGCAAACCTGCACGAGGACCTGTTTTAAAGTCAGCATCCTGAATGGCCGCCTCATTAAGCCGCGATTCAGGAGCCTGAGATCATGGATGTGCCTGAGCCCACCATCTTTCTTTGGAACGAGGATGTTCATGTTTAATATTTTCTGATTAATTATGCACATAAAGAAATATTTTTGTGTTGTATCAGTAACCTTCGGCAGCGTGCAGAAGACACACCTATCTAAACGATTTCACATTTGCCCTTCACGAAAATACCATAAACATTACCAATAGTGGCCATAGTAAAAATTAATCTACATACACATATCCTAAGAACTAATCCTGTGTGACTGATACGCTTAAAATCGGATGATTATATGGCAAGGTTTTAGCTGTCAGTCAAAGATGCGTTCTGTCAGTAGGGAATAGCAATATTTCAGTACATTTCCAGTGGCTTCACCGCCTGATGGCAGTTTAGAACGCAATGAGCAATCAAGTCATTAGAGACCAGTGGTTTACATTGAAAAAATATGCAAAACAGCGCAGTGGAATGCGCAAACATGTTCTGTGTGAGTGATCCCTTCCTCTTTCATAATTTGAATTAAAAGTGTGCATAACTTGCAGAAGCAAGCAAATCATGTTTTGCTTTGAACTGAATGAAGTCAAGAGGTTTGTGTGAGAGTTAGTTGTAATGAATATAATGATCTTAGCATGAAATCCAGAACCTATGTGAGATCTCTCAAAGATCTGTGTGTGATTCCTGTGACATGTAAAATAAGCATACATTTATATTCAAATAAAAACATTTTCACACTAAAACAGTATTCCACCTCCAGAATCATAGTCTGATCAGCATCTCCCAGCGATTCCTGCATACACCACCTCAGTCTCCTCTTTATCTCTCTGTAACAAAACAGAAACACACGTTCACATCACTGATGTATTTATCAAGATCATTACTGACCATTTAATAATAATAATAATTATATATATATATATATATATATATATATTTTTTTTTTACAGATGTATAAGCATTAGGTCATACTTGCCTACGTGGTTTGCTTTTTTATGTTTCCTGCAGGTGCAGAAGATCATGACTGCAGCAACAATCAACAGAAACCCAGCAGCGGCAGCAGAGATCAGCACTAAGTACAATATGGTTAGGCCGTGTTCTGTAACAGACAATATGAGCCGTTGCTGTGAATGAATCTGTCAGTCTGATCTACAACAAACGCTACATGAAATATGAGCACTATGAGATCAGCTCAGTAAGTAAATGCTAATATCACCACATGTCCTACCTGAACATGTCTGACAGAGTTGAGTGATGTCCAGATGTTGAGTCTGGTTGCTGATGGGATTGTTGAGCACACAGCTGTAGGTGTTTTTATCCTGATATTCCACCTCCAGAGGTAGAGAGAGACTGATGCTGAGATCAGACACACTGATGCTGGACAATAAACTGTTTCCTTTGTACCAGGAGAGAGTCACATGACCCACATTCACCACTGAACACAGCAGTGAACAATTCTGCTGTGATGATGATGAAGATGATGAAGCACAATCTCTGCTGACGACAGGAACAGGCAAATGAGCTGAGAAGAGATATTAGAGAATAAATCTATTTTTACAGTAGAGCGCCATTTTATTTGTCAGAATTTGATGTGTTGAGTTGAAGTTCATTGTGTCAGGCACAGACGTGTTCATATATCAGTGATGACGTTGACAAGCCTTCTCTCAAACAAATTCATATTTAAAATGGAATTAAAGTATCGGTATCAAAGTATTGAATTAGTTGATGAACTTTACATAAAAATTCCATTACATAATTTTAATAAAACTTCTTTCTAAAACAACGAAACTTAGTTTTATGACCAAAATTAGTTTTATGTATTGATTTACAGTTTTACTCTCGTCCCAGACTGAGACTTTCGATTTTCAAATATGAAACTCCATCACAAAAAATGTCCAATACTATGATGCTTTAAACTAGTTTTCAAAAATCTATTGTGTGAAAATTATTTCTGTACTATATAATTGTATTTTAAAACATAATTTATATTTTAGATATCATTTTATGTCAAATATTTGATATTTAAAATTTTTTATACTACGTATTCACTTTTATACTACGTATTCATTCAAAAAATGAAAAATAATTATAACATCAATGTGGAAGTTTTAATGTAAATATCACAGAATATATTCACTTTGCTTCATTTCTAATCGAGCTGTAATTGTCAAATTATGCACATAGAGTGAAAATCCTATTCAGCTTTATGTATTATGTAGTCAGCAATATTAAAATGATTAAGATGCTTATTTTTAGCATTTTTTATTGTCCACAGCCAAAGTTGATCATTGAAGCAACACTCACACATCAAATAGGGTCAAGAACGTAAGTAATTCTCTACTCACCATAGACAGTAAGATTGAATGTGTTGAGCGGCGTCTCTGTTCTGCTGCTGGTTACTTTATAAAGTCCAGAGTCTGTGGTTGTGGTGTTTGTGATGCTCAGAGATCCAGTCTGATGATCCAGCTGCAGTCTGTCTCTGAATCTCCCAGCAGCATTATCCTCATGACACTTGCTCTTATTGTTCTTTCTGTTGATTTGAGCGATGAGAATGTCCTTGTGTCCAAATCTCCACAGTATCTGATCTTTTCTCTGTATGTCAGTATCATCAGTGTTTAGAGTGACAGAATCTCCGTATTTTAAAACATAATTTATATTTTAGATATCATTTTATGTCAAATATTTGATATTTAAAATTTTTTATACTACGTATTCACTTTTATACTACGTATTCATTCAAAAAATGAAAAATAATTATAACATCAATGTGGAAGTTTTAATGTAAATATCACAGAATATATTCACTTTGCTTCATTTCTAATCGAGCTGTAATTGTCAAATTATGCACATAGAGTGAAAATCCTATTCAGCTTTATGTATTATGTAGTCAGCAATATTAAAATGATTAAGATGCTTATTTTTAGCATTTTTTATTGTCCACAGCCAAAGTTGATCATTGAAGCAACACTCACACATCAAATAGGGTCAAGAACGTAAGTAATTCTCTACTCACCATAGACAGTAAGATTGAATGTGTTGAGCGGCGTCTCTGTTCTGCTGCTGGTTACTTTATAAAGTCCAGAGTCTGTGGTTGTGGTGTTTGTGATGCTCAGAGATCCAGTCTGATGATCCAGCTGCAGTCTGTCTCTGAATCTCCCAGCAGCATTATCCTCATGACACTTGCTCTTATTGTTCTTTCTGTTGATTTGAGCGATGAGAATGTCCTTGTGTCCAAATCTCCACAGTATCTGATCTTTTCTCTGTATGTCAGTATCATCAGTGTTTAGAGTGACAGAATCTCCCTCCATCACTGACACTGATTTCACTTCATCACCAAACACACCTGATGAACAAATATGTACTCTTTGAAGCTATTTAAAAATTCTCATTGCAAAACAATTACTGACTCTGCACTCAATGTATAATTTCAATGAATAATTCAATAATGTGCAATAAATAAACACTTTAATGTGAGTGGAAGAGAAAAAATGTCAAAATGAACATTATGAACACAAAGATGTTTTAGTCTGTTAGTCTAATAAAACACGAAAATCAATGTTGGAAATAATAAATTATGTTGATGCAGATAAATAATAATATACATAGAACTGAAATCATAAAAATGCTTACCAGCCAGACTCCATGAGCACAAACAGATGAAAATAAATGTCTCAAACATTTTCTTCAAATAACACCAGACCTGAATTCTGAAAAGGCGACATTTAAAAAAAAACACAACAGAAATGTTGTAATACGCTTTTGAAAGCAGTAGCGACAGAAGTGCTGGAGAGCAGTGTGCTGTTGGTCTGTAGTGAAGTGGTTTTGTGAAGCTCTGCAGTAAGTGTGAATAAACTGCTCCAGTAACACCTCCCACACAGTCTGTGTGTCTACTCACATGGTTTTCATAGACAATATACCCTAGAAATTAAGTTTAAGAACAATTTCTAGTGGCTCATGTTCCCATTTCTCTCAGTTCAGCATTTTAAGAGGTTGCTTTGTAAAGGTTTCTGAACATTTCTTATTAAATCACTGACGTTACTGACATTCAGTTCAGAGCTAATTTAGCAGTGCTTGCTAACATTAACACTCTGCTGCATTGTCGCCTCACAGCAAGAAGGTCCCCGTTTTGGGTCTCGGCTGAGCCAGGAGGCTTTTCTGTGTGGAGTTTGCATGTTCTCATGGATGTTCTACTTATAGACAAAAGAAAACAGAACGCAAACTCTTTCTAAAGACGTGGTTTAAACTTTCACATTTTATATTATTTAAAGAAAATGAAGCTCTAAGCCAGTTCTGGTCTTGGACGTCCCTGGCACTGCACATTTTGAATGTCTCCCTTGTGTGTCTTGATACTTGATGAAGTATCTTGCTCCTATAAATATTGCTTCACCCCTGGAAATATGTAGAAATATTACGAAGGACGTTAACAGAGGCCAGAGATGGGACACAATAAAGACGGAGGCAAAGAGGAGAGAATAAACGCGCTAGCAGAGAAAATACTGTACAGGCAGAGCAAGCTCACTGTTTCCTAAGCTCGAAATATTCAAAGAAAATCCTAAATATTGAACTGGGGGTTGGGGTTTATATGAATGTATCACTGAAGTAACTGTCTGTCTTCAGAAAAGTTTCAATGGCATTTTCTTTTCATCTTACCTCCATATATTATGCATATCAAAGTATTGTTTATAAGCGCAGTGCTGCTTTGTTTACAGCGACAACCAAGGAATCACTGCTGTTCCATAAGCGCCACCTGCTGTCAGAGAGTGAATTTGCATTTTTAGTATCATTTACCAAAGCTGAAACCAGGCCTCTCTGTTTGCTTTAAATCTTGTAATTGTACAATCTAATTTAATTTTTTTTTTTTAAACTGCTCATGCTACATGCATGTAGCATCTTTGTTTGGACTGTAATTAAAATGCAGTGCTACCGCTCATTTCAGACGGCTACAGATTTTTTTTAAGGCCAGTTCAGCCTGCAATAGAGCAAATAAACATCTTTCTCATGTACTCTTTCATTCTTTCTTGTCTCTTGCTTAAAGGAAAATAAATCAGCAATCAGTATCAGAATCGGCATCAATTCTTCCAAACATTTGCACCCCACCTTCATGTCAAGTTATTACTAAATTTATTTAAGGGACATGCCAACTCCTGAATCACTGTTGACTACAAATGTGTTCAGAGTGATTTTTTTATTTTATTTTCTTTCATAAGATCTTGACTCAAAAAAGCAAAAAGAACTCCACTATCCTATAACTAAATGATCTTACAAATATAAGCACACAAATCAATTGAAGTGACCTGCATCTTAACCAAGGCTTACAACATATGTTTAATTAATAGTATCACAATATTCTGTGTGATAAAATGTGGAAAGGAATATCAATAGAACACTAGAATAAACTAATAAAACATAAAATAGGTCAAAAATTGGCAGCTTTATCTTATTTAACTCAACACTCTATCAATGGACATAATAAAGCTTTTATTCAGATAACTACAGGTGTAGTGAATAAAATGTCCCCCAAAATAAATTTTTGAGTTAAATGCATTGGTTTGATGCACTTTGAGAGCAAACCAATTTGAGGGACTAAACTGAACAGAGTAAAGGCCTTTGCATTGACTTGTATCTGGACTTTAAATCAGACTTTAATTACTATTATTATAATTCCTAAGATATGCAGTATTACTGTAATACTGCACTGTAAAATAAATATAAATTAAAAAATGAATATTTCACAGTAAGTATATTAGTAAAATTACAATATTTGTGTTTTCATTTCTTCACTTGCAAGACTTTAAGCATCAAGCTTTTATTTTGTCATAAAACAAAGTTTTATGTCATGATGAAAAGTTAAAAAAATATTTGTCAGTTGATTATGGTCAGATTACGGCAGGCCGCCACAATCTAGATAATTAACGGGAAACACAGTGCCACAGACGTACCTGAACATGGCTGACAGAGTTGAGTGATGTCCAGATGTTGAGTCTGGTTGCTGATGGGATTGTTGAGCACACAGCTGTAGGTGTTTTTATCCTGATATTCCACCTCCAGAGGTAGAGAGAGACTGATGCTGAGATCAGACACACTGATGCTGGACAATAAACTGTTTCCTTTGTACCAGGAGAGAGTCACATGACCCACATTTAACACTGAACACAGAAACGCACATTTGGACACTGACGATCCTGATGAAGATGATGATGAAGGATGTTGTGGAGAGTAAATGGTGATGACAGGAATGGGTAGATGAATATCAGAATATATCTGATAAGGTAAGTACCAGAGCTGTGATTCAGGGTAAATAAAACCATAGTATATCAATGACACTAAAATAACACTGCTGTGATATTTGTCAGTTGATACGTAACATTAAGTATTAAAGAAACGTGCTTTGATAATACAATTTTATTTATTAAAATATGTCATTATAAAAATGCATAAAATGCACAAATGATTCTGTGAATATCACTTCAGAATCATATATCAATGACAGTGATTAGTGTCAAAAGATCTCTACTCACCATTGACAGTAAGATTGAATGTGTTGAGCGGCGTCTCTGTTCTGCTGCTGGTTATTTTATAAAGTCCAGAGTCTGTGGTTCTGGTGTTTGTGATGCTCAGAGATCCAGTCTGATGATCCAGCTTTAATCTGTCTCTGAATCTCCCATCAGCATCATCACCATAAAACCTGCTCTTATTGTTCTTTCTGTTGATTTGAGCGATGAGAATGTCCTTGTGTCCAAATCTCCACAGTATCTGATCTTTTCTCTGTATGTCAGTATCATCAGTGTTTAGAGTGACAGAATCTCCCTCCATCACTGAAACTGATTTCACTTCATCAGCACCAAACACACCTGATGAACAAATACACATATTTATACAGAATTTGCAGATTTGGAGTTTAAGTCATTGTAAGTAAATTAACATTATAAGTAAGGGGAGACCGGGTATGGTTGTAACACTTTTTGCTTCAGCATCTGTAACTCACAGAGTTTTCAGAGATTTGTGTACTACAAAAGGCACCCATTGAAACCTCTGCAAGAATATCACACCCCGTATAAGTTGATGTCAAATACGTGGAGTGCCTTTGTTACAATCTACCCCACTGCTGGGGTAGGATGTAACACATACTGGGGTAAGTTGTAACAATTAGTCAAAAGAAGAAAAAAACTGAAGCCACACCACGCTATATGCTACAAAAATAGGTTTACTGAAACAATCCAAAAGAAGAACCCATTACAATGTCTTTCTTTGTGACTGAACATAACTCAGCTCCACTTTCTGTCTAACTCACGAGTGTGAGCACGTGTGTGTAAATTCAACTAGAACAATTTTTAATGAACACTCAACTCCAGTGTATCTGTGCAAAAAACATCTAAAAAAGCACTGTCACGTGTGCACATTTGTGTATCTATGTCTGAATTCTCAGTCCGAGTCACGATGGAAGTAAATTACTTTTGTTAATCCTGGAGTGCAGGATTGGCGGGCCCAGTGACTGCATAGAGCACATTTAACCCACTCTTCCATTGGCTTTGTGTTGGAAAATGGCTCCTTACAGACAACAAAAAAGTTGTCATTGTCTGAGGTCATGTAGCCATAGCCTAACCACAAGGTCTACACTTCAGCATAATGGTAACCTCAAAAATCGACATAACATAAACTCTTTTAAATGTCAAATATAACTGAACAACAAACTTTAATAGGTCTTTCCCTTTACTAAAAAACACATTAAACAGCACTTAATTTCAACATTTACTCTCCTGATCTATCCCTATGCAAAGCATGCTGGCAACTAGAAATCCACTGCCCAGTTTCAGTCAAGGCAACGTAAATGTTTCATGTAGCCCCAACACAAATGGTTTAAGTTAACTTAATATTTTACTAATGTAATTTCATTTAATGTTATAAAATTTTGTGCAAATGACAACTGAGTAAAAAACGATACATATACATATTCTAATGAAGCTTAGAGTAAATGGAACTACTAAATAAAGACTTCATTTTCACAGCTATTTTTCTCTGTAAGCTTATTTGAGGCATCATTAAAAGCACTATATAAATAAACCAAATTAATTTGACAGAATGCTGTCTTTGCAACTGATCTGACTGACTTTCCCTTCTTTGTGACCTCATCAGACACCTTTTTTAAAACACTGGCAGGCACACCTCTCTGTGTCTTTCTTTTCCACTGTCTAGGCATTCTGTAAAATTGTAAAAAGAAAAAAAAATCATAGTTTCATATAAGGGGATGGTTGTAACACTTTTTAAAGATGTGTTACAACCCACCCCACCCCTGTCAGTCATTGCTTAGCTAGCTGTATTAGCTTAATGGTTTGAAATTAGAAGGTGAAAAATGCATCACATTTTGCCTGAGAAACTACAATTCAATCTAATATAAGTTAAACCATTTTATCAGCAATAGTTTAAGTACTACACAAAATATAGTTTTGATCAAAAACAAATTACATTCTTACTTCAAAATATTTTTTTTCTCAAAAAAATTGGCATATGCCTATTTCCAGCATTGATAACCATCCATGTGGATCTGGGAGGAAGTGGGTACACACTGAAATGATCATGTGACTCCTATCTTATCCCTGATTGGTGAAACTGGGGGTGTTACAACTCTCCCCATGTTACAACCATACCAGGGCTGCGTTCAGCCCCGACAAAACGGTGCAAAAAGTTGTTTAAATGGAAACGGTGGTGCGTTGAACACCCTGTTCTGATGACGCAAGAGTTGCAACTATGGCAGCTGAGAAGGCCATTCTTTGTGCTCTTTTTGAAGAATTTTTGTAGCCTGATTAAATCGGTATAAATACGTGTTTAATACTGCAAAATACGCTCGATGTTACAGTCACTGCCCTTGCCATCCAGAATAAAAGAGAACATCCCAATCGAGTGAAGCGATTTGTGGAAACTGTGTTTCCTAATTATTATGATCCAACGTTTGCCTCACATTTCAGGATGAAAAGACAAACATTTAGTTTACACTGACCACAGAACCCTTCACAGTGACTTGGTTGAGCAACCGCATCATTTCACTATGTCTTGCTGGATAGCTCTGCGTATGTGACAAACTATCTTTGTATCATTCTATATTAATGGAAAGATCACATAATGATTGTCAATGTTTGTTTGTCATGTTTTACAGCATTTTACGCATTTTCAGTCCTAGCCTGATGCAGAGCAGTTCTCCCGGGATGAGGGGTCCTGCTGCAGTTTCACCAGTAAATAAAATGACTCGTTACAATTCTCTTGGAGGACCACATAAGCCATGAAGTGGCGCATGGAGATATGGTGGGAGCATTTCTTTAGATACTGTATTGATTGATTTTTGGGTTTAAAATCATAAATATTTTTGTATGTAGAATGATGAGGTAAATACTATTTTGTGGACTTATATGCCCCCCAACATGCACGTATTCTCTATTTTTAACAGGAGTGCCAAGAGGACATGAAGTGGAAGTTTGTAAGGGACATAAGGTCCGGTGTAGTGCTGGATACAGAGTCACCGTGAGCTATTCCGCGGGGAGGTGACAGGGCCTGCCTTTCTCCAGATAGACAGTAAAAAAATCAACAGAATTCCATCAAAGAATACCCGGGTGGAGAATCGGATGAAGCAAGAGATGTCTTTTTATTAATCTGTCACGGAATGCCAGGAGAAAACAAGGTTAGATCCAATTGCAGTAGTTTATTAAAGTAACAAATAAACAGAACAGAACCAAAACTAAACAAAAAGGTAAATTCAAACATAGGGATCAGAAAACACAACGTAACCTCAAACAATACTGCAGCAAAGACAGACAATGAGAGCATGGTATAAGTAGTGATGAAATGATGAGTAAATTACCAACAGGTGATAATGATCAGAACAAAACGACAAAGCAAAGGACTATGGGAAACATGTTCAAAACATGTAACACAGAAACAGGAAGAGTGCCCTCAAGTGGCCAGTCCAGGGCACCACAACCAGACACTGTGACATTACCCCCCCTCTACGGAGCAGATACCAGACGCTCCACCAGAACACACAAAAGTTCAGGAGGGAGGTGGAACTGAGGCGGATCAGGGGGAGGAACGGCGGGCCAGGACCATACAATGGATGGGGGCCAGGGGACAGAGGTAGAGCAGGGCATGAGCACAGAACCGGCAGGGTGAAAGGCCAAGGTGGGGCCGGCAGGATGAACCAGCAAGGCCCCAACCACACAGGAACCTCAGCAGATAGCCAGGATGGAGCCGGAGGAATGAGCCAGTGAGGCTCCT